AAATGGGTCAAAGATCTGAATATTAAAACAGAAACGCTAAATCTATTGGAAGACAAATTGGGTAGAAACCTTGGAGACATAGGAGTAGGTAGAGAATTCATGAATAGGACTCAAACTGCACGGGAAATACTTCCCAGAATCAATAACTGGGACCACTTCTTATTAAAAAGTTTTTGCATGTCAAAAGAAATCTCCAGCATAGTGAAAAGAAAACCCACAAACTGGGAAAAGATTTTAGTGAACTCTCTCTCAGACAAGGGACTCTTGTCTAAAACATATAAAGAATTAAAAAAACTCAGACCTTCAAAATTCAAAGATCCAATCCAAAAATGGGCATCTGAGATGAATACGCAATTCTCAGATGAAGAAATGCAAATGGCAAATAAATACATGAAAAAATGCTCATCATCATTGGTAATTAGAGAAATGCAAATTAAAACCACACTGAGATACCATTTCACTCCTGAAAGAATGGCCAGGATCAAGAAAACCAACAACAACAAATGCTGGAGAGGCTGTGGGGAAAAAGGAACTCTCCTGCACTGTTGGTGGGAGTGTAGACTGGTACAGCCTTTGTGGAGATCTGTCTGGAGGTTTCTCAAAAAGTTGGGATTGGAAATCCCATTTATTCCAGCTATTCCACTTCTAGGCATATTCCCAGAAGAACTGAAAGCATCATACCACAGGGATATATGTGCACCTATGTTTATAGCAGCACAATTTGTAATCGCCAGATCTTGGAAACAACCCAAGTGTCCATCAACTGAGGAATGGATAAAAAAGTTGTGGTATTTCTATACAATGGAGTATTATTCCGCTATAAAGAAGGATCGCATTGAGATATTTATCAATAAATGGGCGCAGCTTGAGACCATACTCATAAGTGAAATAAATCAATCTCGCATGTATGAATACCGAATAGTTTCCCTAATGTAAGTAATGATTCAAATATATAAAAATATGTGGTAATCATGATTCCCCATTATGTGGCCTTGAAGCCTTATAAAATTTTCACTTATTAATTAGAAAGACTTTACTCTGGGCTTTTTGATATGGAAATATTTGAAGCTATAGTATATGAAGTTTTATCCAAATATTTTAAGGAAAAAGACAGACAGTATGGTAACTACTATTCTTTAAAAAAAATTATTTAGCTATTTCTTATGTTTATTTTAATTAAGGGAAAAACTTAAAAAATTAGGATATATAGTAGTAACTCTTTTTGATCTCCTATTAACTTGTTTTGAAGTCCTGTAATACTCCCAAGATCTTGTTTTGACTGATTAGACTCTGTTCCATTCTGTGCGATAGTAGCAAGTTTGAAGGTATAGGCAACTAATTTGAAGGCAATAAGATTCACAAAGATGCCCATTCTGGTTTGACTATTGTCTCCTTTGGAAGTCCTGTAATGTTCACAATGCCTAAGTTTTATTGGTCTTGTTCTCCACTGTTTTGTCCGGCTTTATAATATCTAATGAGATGGACAATTCCTTTTAAGGAAACAAGAGACAATGTTGATAACCATTGTTGATGACCTTGTACTCTGTTCTACATCATGTGCTATGTCTATCCTTGGTTTGGACTTACAGCTTTGTTTTGCCATATTTGACTTTATTCTCTCCCCCCCAAGAGAGTAATGAGAACTGAGTAGTAATAAAATCCAAAATGTGTAAATTTTGTTATAAAAAAGAGAGGGAGGGGAAAAAAAAAAGAGCTCTAACGGATATAACAACAAGTGTGTTTAGGGATGTTAAATAGCTGACTATATTAATGTTTTTGGATCATTGAACACAGCTGTTTGCAGTCTCTCCGTTTGAATGTCTACTTTGTATTCTTTGATACTGTGATTTGAGCAACTATTTCCAAGATGATATTATGTAATCTATTAACAGGTGATTTCTTACTGTTATGTTTTTTTTTTGTAGTTATGTATTATGTGTAACCTTACACTGCTTTGTTTTGTTTTGTGTTTTTCTCTTTTTCCTCTTAAATAAAAAAAAAAAAAAAAAAAAGCAGAGCTATTCCTAGCTGTCAGGGTCTCACACTTGGCTGTCAAACACAGGTCCTTCCAGCGTCAGCAAGGAGCCCTGCACCTTAAATGTGCTGGAAGGCGACTGTCCAGGGCTCAGGACCTGCTGGAGCCAGCAGGTGAGTGGTTGCTAGGGATGCAGGTGGAAAGGGCTCCATGAGCCTTAAGCCTGAGCAGCTTATGTTAAATTCGTCCTTCTCCCCTTTTGAGGCTGCTGTTGATCGAGTATTTTCTGTATTTTACAACTAACTGCCGAGGTATTCAAGAAAACTTTTGTGGCTGACTAGATGAGTCCCTCTTACCCACTAAAACCCACATGATCTATTCACAACAGATCAGAAGAGCACAGCACATGGTGAAAATATCCCACCTTCTCCAACCCATGACTTCCATAAATTTCAGTTTCTTAATTGTGTTCCTCATTGTAATTTCCCAGAGTATGTTATATTGGGTTTTTTTGTTCCCAATTTCTGTTGAATGTCACTGAGATCTGCTGATCTTTAGTTAAAAAGTCAGTACTCTCTAAGAGGGAAAGTGGATTCTAAGCCTTGCTGTTGTACTTTACAAACCAGTTATACATCACATATCACCGTGTATGTCCCCCGGATCTGTGGACACATAAGAAAGGTGAAACGGAAAGTTAATGTATTAAGAAAAGACAAAATAATAATATAAGGACCAATTTGCAATTCTCAAAATCTTGGAATAAAATCATCTAAATATCTGTCACCATAGATGATTCTTTCAATGCTTTCATTTATACTGTAACAACATTTTAAAAGCACACAAAATACAATAGGACATTGAAAATGATGCTGTGTCACCCTGTAATCATGTTAGCATTTACTGTTTTCCTGTTGTCTATGCATAGCTATCAAAATGCTAATAGTAAAGTAATTAAAATGACATGTTTTCATTAAGTATCATTTGGTTTTATGACAAGATATATTGCATGAAAATGACAAAAGAATTAAAAGATGTACGAAAGAAATCAGGAAAATATCAAGAAACATCACCATGAAGCCCAGCACCCCTGACCTCTGCACTGGATGCAGCTCTCTCTGAAAATGGAATAGCAGGGTCCCTGGATACCCTGGGTTGAAACTGTATCTGTTTCTGGTCCCCAAGTATTCATCTTTGGTGTCTCAGGAATAAGTGACAGATACCATGATACAATTCAGCATCTGCTGCATCTTAATAGTAGGGTGCTTGTGAAAGAAATACATACCTTTTGAGAATGTTTTCTTTATCTTACCTAACAGAAGGCCAATATTTATGTCACATTAGTAGGAATAAATGATTCCAATCAAGTAACATTTATTACTTCTAGTTCATCTGTCCTTAGACGAGTATTTTCTTTTAATGGCACAAAGTACAAACTAAAACAGACAAACACAGACTTACAAACACAAACACTTCTCACAAAAAATAATTTTAAAGACAGCAGCAAAATTAGCACTTACAGCACACATTAGAAACTACTAAGCTCTGCTATTTATAATGTAAGTCTGATGTTACATGAAAGAGAGAAGGCAGGTTAAGAGAAATGATTGTAGGCTTTTTTGTGCTTAGAAAAAGTTGAGCCAGGCTGGTGTGGGGTCGTGAGCTACAGCTGTGCCCATGCCTCCTGATTCTCTTCTCACTTTCTCTCCCAAGTTTCCCACCATCAATTACATGGACATTGGATCCTGTCTCAGCATCAGTGATTTGGAGGGTCTGAATCTGAGCAAACATAGAGCTCCAAGGCAGAAGCAGGGTCTCAGGGAGAAAAGGCAAACAACAACCCAGGGGACAGGGGACAGGAGACAGGGGACAGTAGCTTGGAGTAGAGTAGGGACAACAGGGGTGGAGACAAATCAAATTATGCCTTTCTGTCAAAGACAGAATGTCAAGAAAAAAACTACAAACCCATAGAAAGAAAGAACCTAGGCACTTAACAGCTCAGGGTGAAAGCCCCATGTTCAATCCTTAACACCATGATAAAGGAAGAGAACAGTTACTAGGCTGGCTGCTAGGATGAGTGCTAAGAGAGGAAGAGGCCACCCAAGATGCCTCCATGGTTTTAGGCCTAAGCAACTGGAAAGGTGGAGTCTCCTGCACCTGACACACTTTAAAGCACGTGAGGAGAACTTGTTCTAGGAGTGACACTAAAGGCTGAATTCAGGATCTAGAAGGCTAGAGATACTATTAGACATGCAAAGGAAATGTCACAGAGACTACTGATTTCATGAGCCTGGATTTCACAATAGGCTATTGGTTGAAGACACAACTTCCACAGTTGCTGTGTAGCTGGTATTTGATGCCACAGAACTGAAGGTGATCACTATGAGGTAAGAGAAAGATCATCATAGGGATGATCTAGGATCTGGATCCTGCTACATACTAGATTTGACAGGTAAGGAGGATTCATCAGGTGACAAAGGAGGTCAGGCAAATGCAAGCTTGTCATCAGTGCCTGATGTTCACATTTTAACAGAGAGTGGCCCCTTTTGAGAGTAAATACTGTTTGCCTCAAAGTCTGTTTTATGTGACTATTTTATTTTTATTTTTGAGATATGGTCTTGATAAGCAGTTCAGGCTCTTGAACCAGGCTGCCCTCATACTCAGGGCGATCCTCCTGCCTCAGTCTCTGGAGCACTGGGATTACATGTGTATATCACCATGCCTGGCTCTTATGTGATTTCAAAGGAGCTGTGCCATGAGATTTTCCTTACTAGAGGTCCTCACATCTTTCTCTATGCTTTTACTCTGTTTTATTTCTGGTACTTTAGTTTCCCTTCCTCCCAGCCCCTCCTGTCCCAGCTCCCTGGGGTGGCCTAGAACAGTAGCAGTCTGCAGCTTTAATGGCACTCCACCCATCAACCACTCCCTGGAGAAGGCCTCACTAGGTCCCTTATGACGTCACAGTTCCACTGGGCCAATGGGATGGGAGGTCTGAGACCACGCCCCGCTGTGTTGTGTTTGGCTCCGCCCTGGTTACCCCTCTTGTGGGCAGGTTGTGGAGTTCAGTGGAGGGTGTTGGAGGAAGTTTCCCTGTGATGGAAGGGATTGTCATGAAGTGGTCCCACCCTTTTTCCCCTCCCTGTGTTGGAATACCTGAGGAAATCAGAAAGCAGAAATTGGCTGCAGCCAAGAAAAAGGTAATGCGAACAGGGTCCCAGCCCCTGGACCCAGAGCAAGTCCCAGATAGCAGCTCCTTGGCAGAGTCTATACCCCCTGGAAGCAAATGGGGAGGACCCCCAGCACTCCAGTGCCCCCTTCAAGTCCTCTCACAGCCCCTCTCCTTCCAGCCCAAATGATGCCTCCACCTCCAGAGGGTCACACCTGTAGGCCTCACGTGGGGCTTGGCTCTGGCCTCATACTCATCCCACACACTTACCTCCCTGAGCCCTACATCAGAGGACCTCCTTCCCTTCCCCTGTGTGGGCACAGAGTAGGGTGGGGGCACACACAGATTCTGGGCACAAGGAGGGGGGAATAAAATGTGCTTGAGACCCTTTCCAGTGGACACTGTCATCACTAACCCTCAGCTGTCCCTTAATCTTCCCACTTTGTACCTAAAGCAGCTTTAACCCTTTGCTGGTTTCTCTGGTGGAGACACAGATTTCTGTCTGGAAGGGCCTGTGAACATGGGAATGGGTGCAGAGAGGTTTTGGTCACAGGTTTGGGCACCTTAACTGAGACACTGACAATGTAAAAACTTCATCGGGGACCTCAAAAGCCTGACAGTCTCTCTGGGCGGCCACAGGATTTCCGACGTGTGTTGGATTTTTCCCAGGGGTTGTCTCTAAGAGTGACCCAAAATGTTTTCTTATTGTCCCCTGTACCTCTGACTCTCCTCTGTGTGTGTGTGTGTGTGTGTGTGTGTGTGTGTGTGTGTGTGTGTGTTACTGATGGCTAAGCCCACAGCATTCAAAAGCAGAGGAAGCTCTCTGTTACTGAGCTGTAGCCCAGCCTGTTACTGACTCTTTCCCCCTGACTCCTAGGGATTAAGTGCAGGGAGCACAGCTCCATGCTCAGCGCTTTTTATTTTGTATTCTTTCTATTTGAGGAGGCATTTTACTGCTTCTATCCTCTCAAGCTTCCCTCATTTTTATCCTGTTATTGCGACACCACCCGTGTTTGGGGTTACAGGCCTACACCGCAGTGACAAGTTACTCGTTCTCTTTCTCTTTTCTTTCATTTCTTACTTTCTGATGTCTAGCCACATTAACTGCTCACTTCTTGAGTGACTAGTTGATCATGACTGTGAGCTGTGGGGCTGTTGGCAGCGTTAAGCAGGTGGTGTGCATAATAGTACGCTACAGATAGTATGCAGGAGGATGTGAACACAGCAGCTCACTGCTTTCATGAGTATCATTGCTCCTCTTTCTGCAGCTAAGACAGTTTCAAAAACAGAAGAAGTCTGACCACTCTCCAGTGGACAAAAGAGTAAGTTTTTAAAAAGCATAAAACCTAAGCCTGCCAGTGGAGGAGAATATCACCCACATGAAGCTGTGAGTCATGGGTGGCCAGGCAGCTGAGGATGGGGCTGCAATGGCAGTAGAGGGTCAGGGTGCAGATGAGAACAAGGTCAGGTGCTGAGAATCCTGCATTCTGGGGCTGGGCCTGCTCTAGCTCAGTGGGAGAGTGTCAAAGAGAGGACTGCGGCTTGGGGCCCGAAGAGGGAAAATGGGACAGATGCTAGGGTGCTAGGAGTGTCTGAGCTCATTGGTCCCTTCCTCCATCTATTGTCCCCCGTGCCTTGGCAGGTGCATGAGTTCAAGAATGTGCGGGACAGGGAGGCTGAGAAGCTTCCTGTAAAGTTGAGCGAACTGAAGAACTGCAGGGGTGAGTGGGCACAAGGGTGACTCTGGGAGGGAGGGGTACCCAGGCTGTGGGTGGGGCTCACACTGCCCCAGGAAGGAGGGTGGATTCAAGGGCACAGTGACAAAGGGAAACGCATCTGTGCCAGGAGCTGGCAATTTAGTCCTACCTCTGGGCCTCAGTATCCCCATTTGCAGAGAGTGTTGTGCCCCCTGCCAACCCACACCCAGGGTCCATATAGGGAATTGGTTTTAGGCCTGGCCATGCTGTGGGCATGACGAATCAGTCATGAGGAAGCCAAGGCCCAAGCAAGGAGCCTGCAGTGGGGGCTGAGACTGAGGAGCTTGTTCAGGGCCCAGAGGCCCGGACCCTTATGGCTGCCTCCTTTGTCACCTGTGCCCCAGTCCCACAGCCCCGAGCAGGGCCCTCCTTGGCAGAGCAGCAGCTGCTGTTGGAGCTGCAGCACGTGAGATCAGAGCTGGAGTGCCTCTCAGGGCAGCTAAAGACCACCCAGGAAGAAAACCTGCCCTGAGGAACACAGCCAGCCAGCAGGAGCAGCGCCTTCTTCAGGTTGAGATCAAGGCCCAGCTGTGGGCTGCTGAGGAGGCTCAGCACAGGAGCACCCCGCAGCAGCGACTGGAGGAACAGCAGACCACCGTGGCGGGGTTAGGAGTGCAGAACTGCGTGATGAAGGGGCAGCTGGCCCAGATGCAGGACAGCTTGCAGAGGCTGGTGTGTGTCCACTGCTCACTGGGCTCCTCACTGCCAGCACCTTGAGGGCACAGCAGCACACTAACCCCTCTGCATTCTTCCCACACAACACATTGGGCCACTGTCCCCCTCAATCATGAAAGTGTCCTGTGAGCCAGAACCCTGCTGGGGCATCTCCTGCAGGCAGGGGATGATTCTGCATCCTGCCCTGCACTGTAGACACCCAGGTGGCGTCTCGGGTCTGCCTGTGCAGGTGGCACTGATTACCATTCTCTGTAGAGAGAAGAGAACACCAATATAGTGACCACCTTGAGCTCAGAGCAGCTGAGAAACCATGAGTGGACTCTGAAGCTGGGCCAGCTGCAGGAGGACATCTTGGAACTCAAGGCGGTGGTAGGTGACTCCTGCCCCATGGGACTGGGCTAGGACAGAGGTGCCGCCCATGGGGAGGGGAGGTGCTAGGGCCACACCTGATCTCCTATACCAGGGCTGACAGCTGACCCCAGAGTCCTGCAGTGTCTGGCAGAGCAATTCTGGGAGTGTCTCTTGCTCTAGGCCTCTGACTGTTGGAGGTGTGTGGCTCTGGGGTCTAACCAGGTCCTGATGTCACTTCTCTGCCAGAAGCCTGAGTCTTCTACTCCTAGGAGTAGACAGGAGGAGACAGGGTAGGAGGGAGGCTCCTTGGTTTCACACTGGGCTGGGTCTCAGCTTCACTGGTCACAGTTTCAGTGCTGCCCATCCCCAGCCTCAGTTGCCATTCCTTCCACTGGATGTTAGCATTTTCTTCAGAGACTTGTTGGACTTAGTGAGACTATGTGTGCACGCTGGAGACTAGAGGAGACCACTTAGAACACACGTTGCATGGCTCCATCTGATTCTCCACAGCTGTGGCGTGAAGTCCAAGTTCAAGAACAGAGGTTCCAGGGCTGGAGGCTGGGAACAGGAGGCCAGCAGTTCAGAGTGGCCCCTACCAAATTTCTGAGCTCAGGGTGCTGAGGCCCCAGGGGATTCCTGCCCTCACTTCTGGGTCTTCTGCAGGTGGTGCTGAAGAGCCAGGAGGCCCAGGTGCTGCAGCTGCAGAGAGACCAGCTGCTGGGCACCCTGTGCCAGGGCACTGAGGCCTGGTTACAGCTGGCCTCTGAAAAGCAGGCTCTTCAATGGCAGTTCTCCCAACTAGTAATGCAGCTGCAGGAGAAACACGAACAAGAAAACAAGGCCCTGGAGAACATCTTCCAAGACCTGAAGAAGACCCAAGTGTTTGAGGCTGCTGAGGCTGGGCCCCTGCCTGGGAGGATCTGGCTGCCTCTGACTTGTCACTGTCCATCCTTACCTACAGGAAGTGGTGCAATCCTCCAGGCTGCAGAAACAGCAATCAGCCCCGGGCAGAGATCTGGCACTGCCCCGGGAAGCTGAGTGGAGGTGTCAGTGCTGGATGGGCTGAGGAGCACTCTGAGAAAGAGAGTGGAGGGGGAAGAGATCCCGGAGGGCTGCTCATTCTCTCCCAGAGGGTGGTGGGCCAGGGGGACCTGGTGAGGTGGGTGGAGGGGACCCGGGACTGCACTGCCTCCCTTGTGGGGCTTACTGGGGACCCTCCTGACTGATTGCTCCCAATTGGAAATGAAGGGGATGTGGAGGAAAGGGACACGAAGAGCCCTCAGACCAACAGCACCACTCCTGAGGCTGTGGGCAGCTCAGAGGCCGAGGTGAGCTGGGCTCTGCTTTGAGCCTGCCCTGGGTCTCCTTCCCTGCCTCTCCCTCTGAGGTCCCTTAGAACATCCCAATACTTTGGATTTTCCCATCCCCTCATTTCCCTGGACCTTCTCTGGAAGCAGTGGTCACACCCCATCCCCTAGGAGCAACAGGTGCCAGTGGCAGAAGGGAGGCTCCTTTGTACCCCATGCAACTGTCATCTGGATAGCTCCCCCCACAGAATCACACCCTGCCTCCACACATGGTATTTGTCAACAGAGGTCCCACCGCTGTGCAGAAACAGTGGGCTCAGCCACCCAGTCATCATGCAAAGGCAGCCATGCCCGAGCATAGACTAGTGGAAATCCCGACCCAGGGCAAACCTAAGGAGGAGGCTTCAGTACCCAGGAGCAGTGGTGACCATGTGGCCACAGTGCAAGTGCAGGAGAGGCTGTTCCACCCGGCTGAGAAGGGTGGACAGGACAGGTTGCCACAGAGCCCTGACTCTGTGCTCTGCCTCCTATTTCGTGCAGGCCTTGCAGGACAAGGCAGTGATTGAAGAGAGTGTGGAGGAGCTGCCATGTCAGGGCCTGCTGCTCTGTGGTGATTCCAGCACCGCTGGTGAGCTGGGCCAGGGCCCCTGCAGCAGGGGCACTAAGGTTTGGGATTTGGGGAGGCCTGCAAGTGACCTGTGACTATTGTTCTCCTTTGCACAGCCGAGCACCCTGACATCTGCCCCAAACAGGGGCCAGTCCTTAAAAAGAGGAATTATGAGGAGGAGGACACACAGAAGGAGGAGGTGGATGGACCAATGGAAGAGGAGGAAGAGCAGGAGAATCAGGAGGAAGAGGAGAAGTATGAACAAGTGGAGGAGGAGGAGGAGGAGGAAGAAGTGGTGGAGGAGGAGGAGCGTTGTAAGCAGGAGGAGGAGGATCAGTGAGTGGAGGAGGTGGATGAACAAGTAGAGGAGCAGGAAGAGGCAGAGGAAAAGGAGGAGCAGCAGCCAGAAGGGCAGGAGGAGGAAGCGGACATGGAGGAGGAGCAGGAGCTGGAGGAGCAGGAGTCGAGGAGGAAGAGGAAAAGGAGGAAGAGATGCAGGCAGAGGATCAGCAGCAGGAGGAGGAGGAACATATACACCAGCTGTTCCCAGTGAAGGGAGAGGAGAAGGTAGGTCTGGATGTCTCCTTAGGCTGGGTCAGGGTGGGCCCTGAGCCTCTGTCTTTTTGGTAAAATAATGCTGCTTGTGCTGCAGGAGGTGGTTCTGATCCTGAAAACAGATTGCAGGTCCGGTCAGGATGAGTTTAAGGGCACTGCACAGAGCCGTGGCGAGGAGCCCACTGTGGGATCCCCACCCACCAAGCACGCTGCAGCCTCAGATGAGGAGTGCGGTCCTGGGAGGGATGGGCAGGGGCAGGCATGGCAAGGGGCACACACTCAGTGCCTGCTGCTCTCTCCCCAAAGATCCTGCAGAGGGAAGCCCTGCACACACTGAGCAGCCTCCAGCTGAAGAGGCTGTGGCCTGGTGCCCCCCAGAACCCCAGCTGCATGAGAGTGAGAGTCTGCACAGCGGACTGGCTTGGGCCTTCACCCCGAGTACAGTGGTTTCTGCTTTGGAACACGCTGAGGAGGAGGAAACCACAGGACCCAGTCTAATCTAAAGAGTTTCACCAGCAGGTCCTGGGGAAGTGGGGCCGGGGCTGTGTGCCCTCTTTCCCCAATTCAGTCCCTGCCTCTCCATCCCTCTTCTCCTGACTTATTTGCTCTGATGTCTAGAGGAGCAAGAAAAACTCTACAAATTTATTTCTTCATAAATACATTATAAATCCAAGGATTCTTTAAAATATCAAAAAATGTTAATTAATCTGCATAAAAAGGAAAAACCCCACAAAGATATTTAAATAAAAATATTAAATGTTTTAAATTTTAAAATCTTTTTTATTTTTAAGAGTAGAACATGACAAAATGAAACTGAGTTTGCGAACAGGATAGTAGGACAGCGACAATACTTGATACCCTGCATGCTGTTGTCTTCCAGGTAGCTATTCGGAGTACAGGATGTAGGCATCCTATAGCATCTAAACAATGTTAGTACAAAACTTTGCTTTCAAGGAACAAATCAAAGCTAGCTGTGCAATTGTCTTCACTCTAATTTTTTCTTTTTTCCCTTTCTTCTTTCCCCTATCACAGTTTGAACTTTAAAAGCTTATTTATGGTTCTGAAAGACTGAGGGAGGAAACGGGATGGGGTCCTGATACCCTGGTCGTGATTATCCCATTCATGCTGATTTTCATTTGGTTGTGAATCACTGGATTCCATCAGCTTCCTGGCCCAGCAGGTTCCTGAGATTGAAGAGCAAGGATCAGATGAGGAGCAGGAAGCAGATGCTGCCGGCAGAGGGCGCACATCAGGCTGTGCAGGGTCCCAAGTCAGAGCTGGTCCAGCAGGCCTGGATGGCATCTCCTTACCTTGTCACCTGGATGCTGCTAGGGCATGATGAGGGGACTGCGTGGAGGCTCCCCAGGCATCCCGTCCTAATGGGCTGTGGACTGGAGCCTGAGATCCAGTGGGGAAGGACAGACTCAGGGCGCTGCCCTGCCCTGCAGTGCACCATTTCTATTTCATGCCCTGGTTCTGCTACTGTCTGCATGTGGGGGCCTGTTTCTTCTATTTAGCTCAGCCTATTGCTGGCTGCTGCCCCTCTTCCTTGAGGTTCAGTTTGTGGTCCTGCTCCTTAGTGATAAGAATGGTTAGTTTTGTTGTTTTTTTGATAAGAATACGCTATAGGACTTCCATAGCCCTGGAATGCCTGTGGCATATCAACTTGACTCTGAGAAACTCAATTCATTCTCATGAGACAGACATGAGTCCTTGGGAAAAAGGTGGAGGTGATACCTTTTAACCTGAAGTCCCCCTCAGAAGTCTCCTCTGTTTGGAAGTTGATTAGATGGGAAGGGCAGCATACTCTACAGAGGACTTGTCCACTGATGAGTTCAGGGGGTAGATGTGCTGTCAGGGTGTGAGGCTGCTGGGAACGGGGTTGCTGACCACTGTGGCCTGAGCACCTTTCCCTTGGCCGTGTCCCTCTTCCCTCCTGTTTCTGCCTTGGAGCCAGTCCACCAGAGACTAGAAGTCTGAGCCCAAACAAACCCCTCCTCCTCTAAACTGCGGGTGTCAAGTATCTTGTCTCACAGGTGGAAAGTGAGAAAGACATGAAAGTTTCAGGACCTGTGCAGAGCGCAGACAAGTTCTCTCTGGCCAGAATGTAACATGCACAGGAAGTTCCCACCTGAGACCTCCTGAGACTTGGCTCTGCTCTCTGCAGTTCGCCAGCACTCTGGTCATCTGAGATCCAATCAGAAACACCCACTAGGCTTTGCTTATGGCATTGCAGGGCTTCTCTAGCACACAGCTGTTAACATCCCCAATTCCCTCCCTCAAAACTGTCCCAAATGCATCTGAACTTCATGGTCTCAGGCAGTCGCTGTTCGGACTCCACTTCTCTAGTCCCAGTTCTTTGTATTTGCTCACTGAGATCAGTAGCTGACACCCACAATGTAAGAAGGAGACTTTTCCTTGGCTCACGGTTTCAGCAAACTCAGTCCACGTCTGGCTGGCTCTGAAGCAGATAGATCGTGGCAGAAGGGCAAAGCTGCTTACTTCATGGCATCTGGGAAGCAGAGCAGATTGATTATTCCTGAGAGCGTGTGCCAGGTGTCCGATATAGTGTCCTGTGTTACACTTCAGGGACACATCAAGAGGTGTGCTTTCCTGAGCTGCCTCTCAATTCTAAAGATACCACTCCCAACCCATCTTTAGTGTCACCGTAAAATTCCAGGGGGCTTCTTCTTAGAAACAACACAACTTAGGACACAGAAGAAACCACAAGTGCTTATAGAAACAAGTTCATGCATCAGCCTACAATCAGTGCTCAGCAAACATGTCCTCCAAAATCACAGTGACGTTCATCTTTCCGTATACAAAAGTCAAAATATGTGATAGCACCAGCTTTCCCTACAGAGTGGATTCAAAAGAGTCCTATTCACAGGAAAGTTTATTCCAAAACGGGAAATGTGTTAGTGTTAGGGCTGTAGCTAGATTTAGTGGTGGGGTTAGTGTTAGAGAGGTGGTTGGAGTTGTGGTTAGGGCTGGCACTAGAGCTAGGATTAGGGTTAAGTTTGGGGTTATTCTAATTAGTACTAGTTAGGGTTAAATTTAAGGTTAGTCTAGGGTTAGGAAAGTATACAGCTATAGTTAGTGTTAGTACTGGGTTTCTGGTGACAGGGCTCGTCTTTGAGTTAGGTGTGGGGTTAGATTTAGGCATCAGAATAGTGGTAGTGCGGGGGTTAGGGTTATAGTTAGGTTCGTGTTATCTTTCAAATTAGGCCTATGATTAAGGCTAGCTCAAGCTTTGGTGTAGGTCTGCTTTTGGGTTTTGACTATTGCTAATGTTGGGTTTAGGATTGGATTTATTCTAAGGGTTAGAGTTAGGGTTAGCATTAGGGCCTGTACTAGAGTTAGGCATATGCTTACTATGTGGTTAGTGTTAGAGCTAGAATTGGGCTACAGGTGGGCTCAGAGGTGAGCCCAAAGCAGATGGCCCAGCAAAGTGGTGTGACATGACAGCTCCACGGCAAGAATGACTAAAGCCAGGGGAATCAACCCTGCCAGTCTTTGTGGGCTGACATCAGCGAGTTCTCCTTAGACCGGTGCCCTGTCACCCTGAGCAGTTACACTGCTCCTACATCTTGGGGCTCCCTGGGCACAAACCCACTCATCAGCTCTGTGGACCTTGGTGTTGCTGCTAAAACCTGGGTAGGAAATGACAGGAGCTTGGGGAAGTTCGATTTGTTCCTCCCCAGCCAGTTGGACCCTGGAGTACCGTCCCTTCCCCTCGGCTCCCCACAGCCAGAGGACACTCCCAGCCCAGCGTACACCTTCATTCCGTGGGCAGTTTCTCTCCTGAGGACACAATGGACTTCCCAGGCTTCTCTGGCCAACAAAGACTTGGAGCTGCGGGCCTGAGCCTGCTTCCCTCCTGCCCTGAGCTGCCAGCGACCCACCTTGCAGAGCTGCTCCAGCTCCTGCTTGAGGCTGTCGTACTCGGCCTCCAGCTCATCATACTGCTGCTTCAGGGTCAGCTTCTCCTCCTTACATTACCAAATTATTTCATCCTACTATTTTAGTAATGTATAAATACCATGAGATTGCAATGATATAGTTGAAAACTTTTAGAACATAATATATAGTCCATATATATAAGTCACAAAAGTTTAGCTGTGATTCAATTTTTACAGCTTTTCAATTTATATTTCTATCTTATTAGTATATCTCAATTTCAAAAATGCCAATATTTTGGGCTGGAAATTAACTATAGCATAGTATTTTGGGCCAGTTACTGGTCTTTAATCATTAAACCAAATAGCAATTCACCCCTATTTGTGACAAAAAATACATTCCTAGACCAGGGCAATGATCTTTGGTGAGTAAAATCAAACCCACCTAAGAAACACTGATTTATCTCTGCTCTGCTATTTGCACCTACACATGTTAGTATTTGTAGGTTGAGTTCATATCAAGTAACGTAAGCTGAAATTTTTGAATGTGTCTCTTTTACACTAGCCTGGCATGCACAAAAGCCTCAGATGATGATACAGGAAAGCTATTGAACATGATGATGTCTCTATCCCAAATAAGTTAGATGGAAAAAATGCAGCAGGCTCACAACGATGAAAGAATTCGTCCTGTTGGGCATCACAGAGTGTCCTGAACTGCAGGCTGCACTGTTTGTGCTGTTCCCCCATCTACATTATCTCACTGGTGGGCGTCGTGGGCATGACTGTCCTCACCCAGGTGGACCCAGGCTGCAAACACCCATGTGCTTTTCTCAGACTCCTCTCTCTCACTGATCTTGGCTACTCTACAGCTGTGAGCCCCAAAATGCTGGTACACTTTGTTGTGGATTCAAATGCAGTCTCCTACTGTTCTTGTGCCACACAACTTGCTTACTTGCTTGTGTCTGTCACTTGTGAACTTTTCATTCTGCTTGCAGTGTCTCATGACTGCTGTGTAACCATTTGCAAGCTTCTGGTCTACACTGTCATCGTGTCCCCAAAAGTATGTCATGTGCTGGTGGCAATTTCATGTTTACACTATATTTATTTCTCTTCTAATGACCAGCAAAATTTTCACTTCATCATTTTGTGGCTACAAGATCATCAGCAAATTCTGTGACTATCTCCGCTTGTTCTCTTTACTCTGCTAAAATACACATGAAGTTGAATTGATAAATTTGATCTCAGCAGGTTTTAATTTGATGTCCTCTCTTGTGTACTACTTTTTTCTTACCTGGTCACCCCTGCAGCCATTTTCAGGATAAGAACATATCCAAACTCCAGAACTGAGTGTTGAAAGCTTATGTTAAGAAGGGTGTTTCTTTAGTGAAAATGAAAAGAAATTGAAATAAAATTACTTGAGCAAGTTGAGATGTTACTGTGCATATTTATATAGTCATAAGAGTATTTTGAAATCTCAGTCCTTGTTAAATTGATCATGAATCACTTGAACAAAAGATTTTTATTTATAAAATTTCAAACGGAATTTAGCATATTGCATAGAAGCAGGGTTCTAAGAGATATTTCTGCAACAAAATAGATATTAGTATTATTATTAAGAGATAAAGACTACATTGACTCTGCATTACATAAATGTGTACATGAAACATCAAGTGAAGTGTTGTCCAGGCCACTCACCCATCTCTGGACCCATGCCTGCTTACAGATGCACCAGTGAGCACCTGTGTACAATTAAATGTGACTGAAGGATAATTATGAAGCTAAAAAATTAGATTTAATTGATCATAGTTAAAATGTCTTATTTAGAACCTTTACCAAAGTAATGTTCTGGACATTAAGCCTCTTCAAGACTGGGATAAACAAATAAATGACATTTGAGCTTGATTCATTAGATTTATATTATTGCTGCCTGTGTCTTTACTGTTGCCAAAAATCAGGACCAAACTGGATGGAACACACACAGCACCAAGGCACTTGGGAAGCATCAGCTTTATTTATGCCAGCAGGCTTGGGGAACTGAGTTCCACATCATCAGCCCTAATTTGGGGTTAGACAGACACTTCTACAAGTTTCAAGCAGGAAGTACAAAAGGCTGATAGCAAGTATAATTGGTTACATAGACTGGGTCATATGATGTCAGGCAGAATTTTTCAAGGCTAAAAGGGGTTTCCAGTTACACAGCAGGAAGGTCAGGGGCTTGGGTAAGCAAGTAAACTCAATCATTTTTTACTGAGCTAGTCTGTCAATGGGTGGTGAGTCCTTAAAACAAGTTAGCATAGCAGGGTTCACTTTTGGACTGAGCTATATCTATCTTACAAGTCACAGCTGGTCTGAGTGTGTGGCGTGTCAAGGATAACTGCATATGAGCAGACTGGATGTGACAGTACCATCCTCCATCCAGGGTCAGGCAATGAGATTTTTAAAATTTCTTTTACCACTATCAAACCACCACTATCAAAATTTCTTAAGAAATCACAGACAAAAATTGAGAAAGAATCAACACTGAGATTCTGTGTTACCATCAAGAAATCAAGTAATAAGTGTTAACTAGGATTCAGAGAAAAAAGAGCCTTCTACAATGTTGATAGAATGTAAACTAGTACAACCATTGTGCACACCTGTATTGAAATTCCTCAAACAACTAAAAACAGAAACTTCATTCAACCCAAGTATCCCCCTTCTAGAATCTTGCTGATGCCCCCACTGCCTAGTGACCTTCGTGCCCCTGGGGGGCTCCAGCATCCACAGGACAGAAGCTAAAGTCTTCATCTAACCAACAAGACAGGTGGTTCAAACTACCATGTGGCTGCTCACTGATACACATATGCGCAGTCAGTGACTCACTGGACATGGTGGCACACACCTGTAATCAGCACGCAGGAGGCTGAGGCAGGGAGATCTCTAAATTCCAGTACAGTTTGGGCTGCACAGTGAGTTCAAGGCCAGCGTGAACTACATAGTGAGACCCTGTCTCCGAACCAAACTAAATCAAATCAAACTAAACAGATGAACAACAACAACTAAACAAACCAACAACAAAACACTAACAAGCAAACAACAACCCCCGCCCCCCAAACCAAACCATGCCATCTGGTCTTTCTGCAAAGCTTCATCTGCGGCAAATGCTGTCACCTGCTGGCCATTGTCGGGAGTGGATCCTTGCTCCGCACTGGCTCCTGAGCGAATTCTCTCTGCAATCCAGTCCCCAGTACTGCAAACAAAACAAGACAAATAGACACAAAACCAGGCAGGGAGCAAGTGCGGCCCACTGGCCCTCTGTGCTCAGCTGCTTTGGCTCAGTCAGCCCTTCCCTGTGTGGTGCTTGGTCAGTAGGGTGCCCTTGACCCCAAGCCATTTGGCATTGGTCTCCTCTGTGCTTAGTTAGCTCTGTCCCTCTCCTCACTTTGGGGCCATCTTTCCCCGTCAATCAGTACACAGTGCCTGCATTCAGCTCCAACTCCTGCAATGCACACAAACCTATAAAGACAGAAAAGAAAAGGTGAGTGTGTTGTTACATTCACTCACACAGGATCTAGGTCAGCTCACTTGGGAGACATGAATGTCCTGTGGGTAGGCCGCTGGTCTCACTCTGGAGCTGAGAGTCAGTCCAGATTCAACAGTGGCATCAAAACCTTGAGAGCCAGGGATGGTGGTGCACGCCTGAAATCTAGCACTCAGGAGGCTGAGGCAGGAGGATCACTATAAGTTCAAGGCCAGCCTGGGCTATAGCAATTTCAAGGCCAGCCTGCACTACATGGTGAGACCCTGTCTCAAAGAAAGAAAGAAAGGAAAGAAGAAAGAAAGTTTTACCTATTTCATCTTCCAACAAATTATTTCTGTTCTAATGTTTAGATCTTCGATCTGTTTAGATTTTAGTTTAGTGCATGGTAAGAGATATGGAATGTGAGTCTAGGTTGATCCTTTGGCGTGGGGACAGTCGGTTTTCCCAGCACCACTGGTTACAGAGGCTGTCTTCCCCCAGGACACATTTTTGGGCCCTTTGTCAAAGATCAGAAGGCCAAATGTACCAGGGGTTGTCTCTGCAACCTTTATTCTGTTTCATTAATTCACAGGGTCTGTGTTTTGACCACACCATGCTGTTGTTACCACTGTAGCTTTGTGGTAAAACTTAAAGTCCAGAATTGTGATGCCCCTGCCTTGCCCTTGTTGCCCAGAATTACTTTTGTTCTTCAGGGTCTCTCTGATTCCATATGAACTGGAGAGTTGCTTTCTCCAGTTGTGTTACGAATGTTACTGGTGTTTTGATACGGATTGCATTAAATCTATACACCCACTTTGGAAACATGGCCATTTTCACTGTACTGGTTCTGCCTATCCAGGAACAGGCACATCTTTCCTTTTTCTGACATCTTTCCATTTTCTGATGGCCTCTTTGATCTCCTTTTCAAAGTACTATAATTTTCATTGTAGATGTCTTTTACTGCCTTGTTTAGGTTAATTCCTGAGTATGTCACTTTTCTTGATCTACTATGAAGGATCTTGTTCCCTAATTCCCTCTCAGTGAGTTTGTTCTGAGGTGCAGCAATGCTGCTGATTTTGAGGGTTGACTTTGTATCCTTTTATGCTACCAAATTTGGATATTACTCCTAGGAGTCTTTTGGTGAAATTTTGGGATCTTCTCCATAGAGCATCATGTCATATGCAAAAAAATGTGATAATTTAACTCCTTCCTTCCCTACATATAGATCCCTTTTCTTTTTATTTTTCTTAACATTATGGCTAATATGTTGAGAACTGTATTGATCAAGAGTGATGATAAAGGACATCCTTTCCTGGTTCTGATTTTAGAGGGAAAGCATTCAGCTTCTCTCCATTTAGTATGATGTTGGCTGTTGGTCTGTCATATATGGCTTTTAAGAGATTGAGATAAGGACCTTCCGTTCTTACTTTGTTCAGGATTTTTATCATGAGTGGATATTGGATTTTGTCAACTCCCTTTTTTGTGTCTACTGAGACAATCGTGCGATATTTGTCTTTGCCACACTGACTATTATTTTATGCGTTAAAATGCACCAACTACAATGAGGTCAAATGCAGGGGCAGGGAATGAGCAATTCCTGATCCTTCAGTTCAAGAAGACTTCAGCAAAACACCTAGCAATCCTTTGACTCTGCATCTTTCATAGGAGCCTAGCAATACAGAAAGATCTTCTGTCAGGCTGCTTCTGTATATTTTCATGTAAAAGTAAGAGGAAGGTTTTACTTGGTCACATTCCAAATGTTTAAGTAAGCTGAAAACAGGTCAAACAATTTTGTCAATGAAACATAGTGAAACCCTGGTTTGCAAGCATAATTTGTTCTGGAAACATGCTTGTAATCCAAAGCTCTTTGTAGCAAAGTGAATTTTCCCATTGGAAATCGTGGAAACGCAGGCTATTCATTCCATAGCCTAAAAATGATTCATATAAAAATGCTTACAATAGTATAATACAAAATAATAAAGAAAATAAAAATACAAAGAAAAGTAAATAAATTAACCTTCACTTATTTTGAAAACCTTCCTGGCTGGTGTGAGGGAGACAAGAGACAGGAGGGTTATTGGGCACAACAACCTTCACTGTCACTAATGGAATCCTTGCTATCTGTTGGCGCAGTGGAATCTTTTTCTTTTCCTGAAACGTCAATAAGGAATTTATCCAGTGACCCTTGCTTTTGTCTCCTTTGCCAGAAATGTGACTTTGCATTGTCATTAAACAGAGTCATCTCCTGCATTGCTACACTTTGTTTGGGGGGTGCTTTCTTACAAGAATTTGTACTGTGTCCCATATTTTACACATCTCCCTAATGTCATCTGAAGCAAGGAATTTCTCCACCTTCCTCCTCCTCCTCTGAGATGAGATCTCCATCATCATTTGCTTTGGGAAGACAATCATGTCCTATCCCACAGCAAGACTGAGAAAGAAAAACACTCCTGGCTTGGTTGTGATCATGTGACTTTCACATCATGTACTTCTCATACTGCCAGACATCACTCATTCATCAAGTTAAAATTTATTGGAAATGTTTGCTCATCTTGCAGAACACTCACAGAACAAGTTCCTTGCAACCCAAGGTTTTACAGTACTTTATTTTTATTATAAATCACCATTTGATTTTTTAAGAATGGCTGACTCTCTTAATAAGCTTAAACACTAAGCTGCCTAGAAGTTTTAGACGTAACTACCTCACCTGAGGTGGGTTTGTAAACAACAGAGAAATCCAAGCAGCCAAACTAGTAAATTTGGAATTAATTAGCTGAGCTCAGTAACCACTTGCATGGACCCATTTCTGAGTCTCACTGAGTGGCCACAAACTGGAAAATTACAAAGATTTTAAACAGGGAATCACAAAAAGCCATCCTGTTAGAAACAGTTTAGCAAGACTCTTACATTAAGTTTTGTTTGACACCTGTATCCTGCTTCTTTGTTGAGCAGATTAATTTTTCTCTTGTGGGTACGGCTCATTCTGCTTTTCATATGGGACTTAACCCTGAGTAATTTTCCATTTGCCTGGGTCAAATACAAGGTACTAGTTAAATGCACGGTTCAAGATGGCATCAGTTATGCCAAGCTACATCCCCTAGGAGACAAAGCCACCATTTTCTCCCCTTGGCCTGGGTAAGGAATCTTCATCCATCGTGGTCCTCACACTAGAAACCCCACCCTTCCCAGTACTACTGGTTTTTCAGAGATGCTGCAGACTTGCAATCCATTTGTTCTCCACCTTAGGCTTGTGTCTTCATTACCTTTCCCTCCCTGCTGAGATAAAATACCTGACTCATAAAGCTAGAGGAGGAAAGGTTTATTTATCTCGCAGTTTGTAGAGGTTTCAGTCCATAATTGGCTGGCTCCGAGACAGTTTGTTTTGGCAGAGAGCATCAGAGAGAAGAAAACGTTCCTGGCAGACAGAAGACAGTAAAAGCAAGCAAGCAAGGGACCTTAACAGCCTCTTTCTGCCTCGTTATCTCATCCAGGCTACTCAGGGTGGGCAGCACTCACACCTTAATCCCAGTGCACTTGAGCTTACCATTAGCCAGTGAATCAGTTCTAGCATCACACACTCTAGATCCAACCACTGCTGACAAAGCCTCACTCATGACTGCAGGAGGCTTTGGGAAGCCGTGGCTGCGTGGGCCAGGCCCTGTGTACCCGATACACCACGTGCTTGTGCTTGAGCAGCACAGGCTTCAGAGCTCACATCTGCAGTGTGCTTGCTTCTTCTTCTGGGCCCCACACCACTCTTGGGAACTATGCAAACTGCACTAAAGCCCGGACATAAATTCCTTTCTGCTTGAATTAACCAGGATTTGAGACTCCTAACAAACACAAGCCTGCACCCCAAATTACAAGAGCATTTTAGGGCCCAGTAAACCAGGAAGTGAAAATTGGCCATAGCGATTAAAGGCCAGCTTGACAGGCCTGGGACAAGGTCCCTAACATCCCTATTCTGGAATTTCCTCTTCTGTAAAAGAGGAACAGCATGTAATAATAAAACAGAAAAGAGGGATGCGAGGAAGGGGCAGCGGACTGACGTGCTGGAAGGAGACCTCTCCAAGTGAGAAATGCATTTTTCAACCAGAAGGAAACACAAGTCATTTCTCACCTGTCGGAACAGACACAAACTCCAACTTCAAGTTTAGGCCGTTCTTGGGCAGTGTTTCTCTCAGGACAGCTCCAGAGGTGGACTGTTGCTGGCGTGAGGTCTATGATGGAATTGTGCCACCAGAGTTCAGTCCTTCCCGCCCTGCGGTGCTCTGCATCCTCCTGTCCATTCCCCACCCCATCTCTCTCCTCCTCTTCCTTCCCCTTCTCCTCCTTTTCCTTTTCTTTTCCACAGTGGGAGTTGAAATTAGGGCCTTCATAATGTCCAACATCCCAGATTTTTTTTCTTTTTTCTTTTGAGACAGGGTCTTATTCAATTGCCGAGGTTGGCCAGGTGTGATTGTGCATGCCTGTAATCCCAGCACTCCTGAGGCTGAGGCAGGAGGATTGTTGTGAGTTCGAGATCAGCCTGGGTTACAAAGTGAGCCCAAGACCAGCCTGAAATGCATAGTGAGACCCTGTCTCAAAAAGACAAACAAAATAAATGTCCAGGTAGGGCTCAACCTGAAATCTCCAGTGTCAGCCTCCAGCCACCACATCTGGTTGGCATGTTATCTCAGGTTCTGATGCCTGTACTCAAGGTGGTAAGAAGGAGGGGGCCAGGAGTGCTT